TCACACGAGGCTCTGTAGACGTGAGGACACTTATGAATGCACAAATAAATTTTCCTTCAGGGTATAAAACGTGGGTTTTTTCCCCCAGATAGAAACTATGTTTTTACAACATGGCAAATCCCCGCTCGATGATAATATTTGACTTCCTAGCTAGCCAACGGACAATTTCCTGCAACTACCTGAAAAGGCTTTCTTTTCGCTATACCTCCACCAAATGTTTACAAGTGAAATGAGGAAGGGGTTTGGTGGGGCTGATGATTAGGGGACTGGAGGCTAAAACGTATGAAGAACAGTTGCTGGAATTGGGTATGTCTAGTTTAATCAAAAGAAGGACTAGGGGAGACATGATAGCAGTCTTCCAATAATTGAGAGGTTGCCACAAAGAAGAGGGAGTCGAGCGAGTGGCGGGTTGCTACTGGTTCCTCCCGGATCGGGCGAACCAGTAGTAGCTATGGTGGGAGGTTCCGCCCAACAACCCGGATGCTTCTACACATGTGCAGAAGCGTCACGCATGAGCGTGCACGTACCCATGAGCAAACAGGTTTTGAAACCCGCCCCTGATTCAAGCTATTCTCCAAAGAACCCGAGGGCAGGATAACAAGCAACGGATGGAAACTAATCAAGGAGAGAATCAACTTAGAACCAAGGAGAAATTTCCTGACAGTGAGAACAATTAATCAGTGGAACAACTTGGCTCCAGAAGTTGTGGGTGCTCCAACACTGGAAGTTTTTAAGAAGAGATTGGACAACTTTTTGTCTGAAATGGTACAGGGTTCCCTGCCTGAACAATGGGGTTGGACTAGAAGACCTCCAAGGTCCCTTCCAACTTTGTTATTCTTTTTATCTTAGATTAGCTGGCACCAGGCTTAAGGATGGAGGTTTTTTGCCCTCTGAGGTAATGTATTTCTATTCCTTCTCACCTTCTTCTTTTTGTTTGATTATTCCAATTATTATTTATTATTTGAGTTTTCTAACCATATTAAACATTGGCTGTTATTTATTTTACAGGTGACCAAAGCCCTCATTTTTCCCACAAAGGTCTTAAGAAACGAATTTTATTTAAGTTTGTTAGGCTTCTATTCAGAGGTGGGCTGCTGCTGGTTCAGACCAGTTCGGGCAAACCGGTAGTTCCGACCACTGGCTGGGCCCGCCCACCCACTCCAGCACTATCCCGTCCTATATATCTCACTCTTTGTCTCGCTCGCCCCACCCACGCAGCCCAGCTGATTGCCACTCCCTGCCCGCTCTACTCACCGAGAAGGTGTGCTGGAAGCCATGTGCATGAAATCGCCGTGTGTTTGAAGATGCGTGCGAGTGCGGAAAATGTAAGCGAGCACGCGCTGACATTTTTGGTTCTGTACTAGGCGAACCGGTTGTTAAATTATGTGAAACCCACCTCTGCTTCTATCCTGCCTTGTACTCTTACTGGGTTAATATCTTGCAGCATATCAGTGGTGGGATTCAAAAAATTTTACTACTGGTTCTGTGAGTGTAGTTTGGTGGGCGTGGCATGGCATGGCTTGGTGGGCGTGGCAGGGGAAGGATACTGTAAAATCTCCATTCCCGCCCCACTCCAGGGGAAGGATACTGCAAAATCCCCATTTCCTCCCGATCAGCTGGGATTCAGGAGGCAGAGAATAGATGGGGGTGGAGCTAGTCAGAGGTGGTATTTACCAGTTCTCCGAACTACTCAAAATTCCCGCTACCGGTTCTCCAGAACTGGTCAGAACCTGCTGAAAACCACCTCTGCAGCATATGCCCAAAAATGTGTTCATTCTTGTGACATGGAATCCAGGAACAATCGGTCAATTGACAATATTTAAATTAGAATTAGAAACAATTCTAAACTGTTACTAATCTGCAGATGAAGTAAAGCTCCTTTGGGCTCAGGGTGATTATTTTTTGTTTGTTTGTTTTCTTTAATTCGGGGCATTTCTTTTCTTTTTTTTCCCAATTTCTTATTTTAGGGGCTCCAGAACAGTGTGGGTTTCTCCCGGTTCGGCCCAGTTCGGCCGAACCGGTAGCCGTGACGATATGACGTCACCGAACCAGTTCTCTTTGTTTGGGAGCTGGGCCCTCCCCCCCCCCCCCCCCCCCCCCCCCCGTGTTATTCTTACCTTTTATTTGGCCCCACCCCCAATCTATTGCTGCCTTCCGAGTCCCAGATGATCGGCTAGAAGGAAAAAAACTGTTTAAACTCTTGCCACAGGGCTTCAAAGGACTGCCCTACAGTGTTAAAAGGCAGTGTGGTGGTAGACCAGTGCCTCCAAAAACAAATGGGTAGACCGGTGCCTCCAAAAACGAATGAGTAGACCGGTACAGCTCTGCAAGCTGTTAAAACCTGGTAGACCAGTACCTCTGCTAAATCCTAAAGAATTGTCACATGACCATCAAGCCACGCCCACAAAATAAGCCATGCCCACAGAACCGGTAGTAAAAAAAATTAGAACCCACCCCTGCTCCAGAACTGTCGAAGTACATGTAATAAGTCACATATAGTTCAGTTGTGATTCTTTATCAGTAAGGATGAGGACATTCGGGAAGGAACTACAAAATCATACATGTTATGATACATAATCTCCAGTTATTTAAGGAGAAATCAATTGACGAAAACGCTTCTCCCCCAGAAGTGGGTTTCTCTGAATCATTTAACGGATTCATTTCAAGGATTACTTGAAAGTAATGGGTTTCAACAGAGCTTCTTCGCTGATGACACCTGGAGAAAATTGCCCGGTTAATGTGCAGTTCCACCACCTGTCCCTGAAAGCACCAGTGGCATGAATGAAAGATGTTCAAAGGATTTGAATGATATCCCAGTCTTGCCTTTAACTTGTTCAATTTCAAAAGCAGTGTTACTGAACACTGAAATCTTGATGAATTCTCCCTTAAAGAGTTTTTGAAAGCTGGGCTAACTTTCTGGCTCCTTTCATTCGGCTTTTTAACATACTTTGTGAAAATTTCTACACATCTTCCCTACTAACGCCAAGATTATTGACAAATTTCATCCCTGACTGTTCGTGATACACAATCCAGGAAGTCTGTCTTATGATCCTCAAAGAAGACAACATGAAAAGTCCAAGAACAAATCTCCAATTTAAGATCTATACTAGCTTGTCCAGAACTAGACATCCTTCAGATGTGTTTGAATGACAACTCATAATATTCCTCCTGACCAGAAATTCTAAAGGTTGCAAACTCAAAGTAACTAGAAGGCACTAGGTTGAAAAAAGTTGTCATACACTGTTCCAATAGAAGAGAATATTTGTAACTCAGGGTTGAACTGTGGGGTCCTAGTGCTCTCTCGAACTTGGCTGTTTTCTTCAAGACATTTCATTACCCAACTAAGGAACACCATCAGTTCCCTTCATCAGATAATAATTCCTGATTTATACACACAAGGAGAGCATTATGAAATGGCAAACATGAGCTAGAACCCAGGGGATACTTCCTAGATTTCAAAGCACTAGCTCAGGGGTGTCCAACCATACCAACTTTAAGCCTTGCAGACTTCAACTCCCAGAATTCCTCAGTCAGCCATGAGGAATTCTGGGAGTTGAAGTCCGCAAGTCTTAAAAGTTGCCAGGTTTGGAGACCCCTGCGCTATATGATAAAACTACCACTGATGCTTGAAGCATGGGGCAGAAGAGGAAGCTAGAATAAGAGTTTTGGATGTTGTGGGAACAAAACCAAGGTTAGTTCATAATTTACACCACAGGTGACGATATCCATTCCTTCTCTTCACCAGATAACATCTTACATCTCCTATTCCCAATCTCTTGCTTTCCAACACACCTGGTTAATGCCATTTTTGTAATTCCTGCTAAGAGCTGTTTGCCATTGGAGTGATCGAAAAGGCCAATAGATAAGCAAGCAAGTAATAAAACATCTGGAAGTACTCAACTGAATAATGTGTGCTATGTAAAATAGTGGGGAGAAAGCTATCCTATCTAATACGGAGCTCTAGTTAGATGCTCAAATGGGGGAATGTTCCATCCAAAAAAAGAAAATAGCTTTCACATCATACAAGATATTCATGGTATAGTACCAGTACTAGAGAATAGAGTAGAGTAGAGTAGAGTAGAGTAGAGTAGAGTAGAGTAGAGTAGAGTAGTATAGAATAGAATAGAATAGAATAGAATAGAATAGAATAGAATAGAATAGAATAGAATAGAATAGAATAGAGTAGGGTAGGGTAGGGTAGGGTAGGGTAGGGTAGGGTAGGGTAGGGTAGTAGGGTAGGGTAGGGTAGGGTAGGGTAGGGTAGGGTAGGGTAGGGTAGGCTAGGCTAGGCTAGGCTAGGCTAGGCTAGGCTAGGCTAGGCTAGGCTAGGCTAGGGCAGGGCAGGGCAGGGCAGGGCAGGGCAGGGCAGGGCAGGGCAAGGCAGGGCAAAACAGAACAGAACAGAACAGAACAGAACAGAACAGAACAGAACAGAACAGCTTTACTGTCCAAGTGTGATTGGACACACAAAGAATTTGTCTCCAGTGCATAAACTCTTAGTGTACATACAAACAACAAGGTAACATAATCAGTGCACATACAAACATACAAACAACATCTACATACAAAGAAGTATACATATAAGCAACAAGGTAATATAACCAACAGGTCCCAATAGGAGAAGGTAGTAGAAAAGATGAAAAGGAAAATAATAATAATAACAACAATAATAATAACAACAATAATAACAATAACAATAATAATAATAATAATAATAATAATAATAATAATAATAATAATAACAGCCATACTACATGGGGAAGAAGATCTATACCTACATACAACTCCTATACCATCAGAAATTTCTTCCCTTGCACTAAAGCAGAGGTCTTCAAACTCCAAGCTATGCTGGCTGGGGAATTCTGGGAGTTGGAGTCCACAAGTCTTAAAGCTGCCAAGTTTGAAGACCTCTGCATTAAAGCATCTCAAGCAGTCCCAGGAAGCTAAAGAAGCTTGTTGTGCACATCCTTCAAAGCACAGAGATACATCTGTTCACCAACCTCATCTCCTTGCTGCGGTCGCATCAAAGACACTCTGTCATACTGCCGCCTTAGCAAAGCCCAAAGGGCATCAAGTCGACCCTGTAAAGAGAAGCCCAGGAAGATTTGTGATGATTTGGCAGAGGTGAGAACCGTTCCTCCAACCCATTAACCATCCCTGAATATATCTCAGGCATCCTCCTCCAACCAAATGACACTGCAGGACAACAGCCGCTCCTTAAATGGGATGCTATTAGGTATAAATTCTCTTTAATGGGAACACATTGAGCCAATGATGCATGAGTAAGTACTTCCTAACGGTGTGTTAAATGAGTTGGAAATTCCTAATTCTGGGCTCTTAAAACACACAGACGAAGATCAAACAAAGCTCTTCAAGTAATCCTAAACTCGTTTATTCAAAATACTTGACTCTACGGGGCATACTTTCAAATATCTATATGCAGGTAGCCCTCGACTTACGACCACAGTTGAACCCAAAATTTATGTTGCTTGAGTGAGAAATTTGTTAAGTGAGTTTTACCCCATTTTACAACTTTTCTTGCCACGTTTGTTAAGCGGATCATTGCCGTTGTTAAGTGAGTAACACGCTTTTTAAGCGAATCTGTTTTGCCCATTTTCTTTACTTGTTAGAAGGTTGCAAAAGAACCTTCTAAAAGAACCGTCATAAATGTGAATCAGTTATGGAGCATACGAAATGTAAATCACATGACCATGAGATCATAAGTGTGAAAAATAGTTGTAACTTCAAATGGTCATTAAGCGAACTGTTGTAAGTCGAGGACTACCTATTTCCACCTAATATCCTTTGATCTGGATCAAAGACTGTATAATATCTCTGTTTAAGTAAAAAAAAAAATTGCGAATGAAAACGGACAATCGTTGGATGATGCAAAGTTTCCTTGGATATAAATGGTAAGAAATCGTTTTAAAAAATCCAATAAAATACAAACAGGGTTATTTTTAATTACTTCTTTGTTCAATTTTGTATAACATAACATTAGATTGAAGTATATAGGTAGTCCTCGATTTAGGACTGGTCATTTAACAATTGTTTGAAGTTACAATAAATCTCCTTTATGGGATTTGAACCATCATGGCCTCAACCCTGTCAGCCTTTCATATAACACCCCCTCTCCCCAAAACTTAAAACTCTGGCTCTGTTCCTGAGCCTGTGGCACTGAATATGCCAAGGGTCTCATTTCCTGGCTCTACAGGTAGCCCTTCACTTACGACCACAATTGAGCCCCAAATTTTCTATTGTTAAGTGAGTTTTGCCCCACTTTATGACCTTTCTGGCCACCATTGCTATGTGAATGGCTGCAAAGTAGTAAACACGGTAACACGGTTGTTAAGTGAATCCCACTTCCCCACCAACTTTTACTTGTCAGAAGGTCAAGCCAAAAAAGTGATCGCATGACCCAGGAACTCTGCAACTGTCCTAAATGTGAATCAGTTGCATTTTTGATCATATAACCATAGGGGGTGCTGCGACGGTCGTAAGTGTGAAAAACGGTCGTAAGTCGCCTTTTTCAGTGCCATTATAAACTTTGAACCGTCGCTAAGTAAACTGTTGTATAAATCGAGGACTCCCTTGTATGGCTAACGGGCCAAATATCTTGCTCTTGTGTTATCTGGAATTAGATGTTTTTAATGTGGTTTTACTCGTTTCGCCGTTTTTATTGTTTTAAAATGTTTGGGTTTTTTTAAAATTTTTAATTGTGGTCTATTTCTGAACTGTGACCCACCCGGAATCATTGACTGAGATGGGTGGCTACTGACATCGAATGAATGAATGAATGAATGAATGAATGAATGAATGAATGAATGAATGAATGAAACAAATACAAAGCAAACTTGATATTCAATGATAAAGTACCTTAATAGGTGTGTACCATTTTTCCTGGGAGGGCAATGAGGTAGGCTTTGGTTTTGGTGGTCTATTAAGAATCGGCTCATCTCCTTCCTCGGGCAGTTTCACCACTGCGTTTTTCGCTTTCTCTAGCCGGGCTCCTTCCTCAGTTGACCCTTTGTCACCCCAACGAACCTAAACAAAACAAATATTCACATCAGACATTTATTTATTTATTTTTATTTTATTTGTTTCCATTCTATACTGCCCTTCTCCAATTAGGACTCAGGGCGGTGAACAGCCAAAGTAAAAAACAGAACATACAAAATTTTAAAAACAGTTTAAAATAATTAAATATTTTGGCCGTAAATTAAAACAACCCGATTTAAAATCAATTTAAAATTTAACTCAAGCCAGCCCAGCTAGTTGAAATAAATAGGTTTTCAGGGCCCGATGGAAAATCCGGAGGTCTGTTATTGTACGTATCTCTGGGGGGAGGTTGTTCCAGAGGGTGGGCGCCGCCACAGAGAAGGCTCTCCCCCTGAGGGTCGCCAGCCGACATTGTCTGGCGGACGGCACCCGGAGGAGGCCCACTCTGTGCGAGCGTACTGGCCGGTGGGAGGCTATTGGTGGCAGAAGGCGGTCTCGTAGATACATCATGGACTTGAACACAAGAAACTGGACCCTCTTGCCATTCAGAGTCAATATACCAATAAAGGAGAATATTGTATTTTTCAGAGTATAAGACGCACTTTTTCCCCCCTAAAAGAGGGTGAAAATTGGGGTGCATCTTATACACCCAAATGTAGCCTCGCCCACGAGGCCAAGGACGCAAGGCACGGAGGAGGCGATGGTCTGTGGCAATCCCTGCAGCTCCAAAAAAGGAAGAAGCGATTCAACAAAGAAGCAATATTGATGCTTTGGAGAATTCTGAGTGCGTCAGGGTTATTTGGGGCTTCAACCATCCTTTCATGAGCCTCACTTAAGCCAATTTTACTATCGCTATACTATCCTACATCGTTGAAGCCGAAGCTAAGAGATAATGGCTTGCTTATCTCTGCCTGCTACATGAACTTAGGCGTACTGAATCATTTCAAAACTATTCCAGCTGCGTTTCCAGTACAAATATCACCCTTATAAAATCACTTGGCTGGCACACAGTGAGAATACTCATACGGTGCTATATATATTTTTTCCTCCAAAAATAACTAAAAATTGACTTGAAAAGCCTTATTGTTTCTTTGGCATTCAGTTGCTTGAAACAAATCTCTGTTACTCAGGGCCTTAATGAAATCATGGAATCGGTTCTTTCCTAAGCTATGAAAAGATAGTCAAAATTGTTCTATATACCGTATTTTTCGGAGTATAAGACACACCTTTCCCCCCCCTAAAAGGGAGTGAAAATTTAGGTGCGTCTTATATACCGAATGTAGCCCCGCCCACCCACTGGCCACCACCCTTTGGCCTCTGCCTCCCAGCAGTTACCTCCTTACAAGCAAACAGCATGAAAAAACAGCTCCTTTCAGCTTCAGCACAGCCTAATTAGCACAAGTTGATTGGATCGGCCTCCCGACTCTCAGCTGATTTGCTCTCAGCTGTTTTGCACAGGGCTCTGCTGCTTGCTGCAAAGAGGTAAATTGATGGAGCAGATTTTATTTTTTTCCCTTGTGCTAATCAAGCTATGCTGAAAATGAAAATGAAAGTAAAGCAGGCTGTTTGATGCAACGAGGCAAAATTGCACAGAGGCAGAGGGAGATTTCTTTTTCTTCTTTTCCTCACCAAAAAAGGTAGGTGCGTCTTATACTCCGGTGCGTCTTATACTCTGAAAAATACGGTATTTGGGGGGGGGACCTACAAGGACATCCTTGTAGTCCAATTCCCATTTTTAAAAAGCCAATGTGCCAAATTGACATCAAAGCTTATCAAGATCTTACCCAACCTTGCTAAGAACTGATTTCAGTAGAGTCATAGGAAGAGTGACTTCTAATCTTTTATAGATACAATTTAATGCGAAGAAAAGCTGGAACAACCAAAAGTTCATCCAGTCACTATATCCGGTTTCTACAAATGATCAATCACATGCCTCAGTCAGTAAATGAGGCACAAAAACAATAATTTAATGATAGTCCACAAGCAACTCACAGCAACATTTTCAAACATATTTGAAAATGCATAATTCCAATTGTTGTAGCTTAGTTCTCTCTTAGATCTGTCTTTCATTGACTTTTCAAAAGTTAAAGATAAAATTTACACCTGCAAGCATATTGGTAATGGACTGTGTGGAGAACCAGAGTCTTTTTCTGTGCTCTTTTATACATCAACCAATAACACTCATTCAGTGGTATTAGATTATGGATGAGTGGCATGATGGCCTAGTGATGAAGACACTTGCCTCCCACTCGGAAGGTTGAGAGTTCAATCCTAGGTAGCTTTTCTCTCCTGAGGCATTTAGAAAAAATATCTGCTCTGAACTCCACGTAGGTGTCAGGAAGGGCATCCAGCTAGTAAATGCTCAGCTCCATCCAGTCACCCAACCCTACCCTGAATTAAGGGACTACAGGGTCATAAAAAAGAGAGAGTTATTCGGTTATGGAAAAGAAGAACATTGATCTCTTCATCCACTTTTCTTCAAACTATGTCTTCTGACCAGTGGTGAAATGTAAAATTTGTTACTACCGGTTCTGCGGGCGTGGCTTGGTGGTGGTGGGTAATGTGACTGGGTGGGCATGGCCAACATTTTTTTTTTTTTACTTTTAAAAGCATTTTTTCTACAACCTCTTCAGCTGAAAAAAAAATGCTTTTAAAAGGATCTGACGATTCCAGCTGAGTTGCCTGATCGTCAGAGACTTTTTTTTCTTTTAAAAGCATTTCTTCTACAACCTCCTCGGCCGAAGAAGTTGTAGAAAACAATGCTTTTAAAAGCCTCTGACGATCAGGCAACTCGGCTGGGATCGTCAGAGGCTTTTAAAAGCATTGTTTTCTACAACTTCTTCGGTCGAGGAGGTTGTAGAAAAAAATGCTTTTAAAAGCCTCTGACGATCCCAGCTGAGCCACGCGATCATCAGAAGCTTTTTTTTTTTTACTTTTAAAAGCATTTTTTCGGCCGAAGAGGTTGTAGAAAAAATGCTTTTAAAAGTTTTAAAAAAGCCTCTGATGATTGCGTGGCTCAGCTGGGCATGGGGGTGGGGGGGGGGAACAGGGATTTTTGATACTGGTTCTCCGAACCACTCGCCACCATCGCTACCAGATTGGGCGATCCAGTCCGAACCGGGAGCATTTCACCCCTGTTTCTGACCCTCAAATTGGCACTTTTCGATTCTGAAATGAAACTTATAAAACAAGAAGCAATGCTGAACTCCCAGAATTCTTCAGGAGAACTCCCGGAAGTCCACAAGTCATAAAAGGGCTATAGTTTCCCTACCCCTGTCTTTGAACAATAAAAAAAGAATGTTAGTAATCATTACTTATTCATACTATTAGAATAATCAGAGCACAGCAAGCATAGAATTGCCGTAGAGAGCAGGTAAGGACCGATTCTCACAGCAGCGAAAAAATTAACAACAATGGACCACCCAGTGGATCGAATGAGGTCATCGTACTTTGCAGGCATTGCTATAATCGCTACTCCACCTCAATTCCTGGAGGAGAACCCAAAGTCACAGCTGCTTTCTAGCAAAAGTACTCAAGGCCGTGGACTTCACAATCATAAAACTGTATCATTAATCAATAATACAACAACCCCAATGAGGTTGCTTCATCTCTTGACATTTTACATCCTTCCAAACCCATCAGATTCCATGGAAGCCGCACAACTTTTTTGCAATCATTACCAATTGAACCACAATTCAGAAGATTCAGCTGCTGCCCCACCAAAGTAGAAGCCCAGTTGCTCTGGCTGAGCTTCGCATCCGGCAATACAGCATCAAAGTGTGAAGCTGTCTCCCTCCCCTCAACTCATATGACATGGGAATAATAGGTATAATACCAGAAAGTTATGATAAAGGGATTATATCAGGGGTGAAATCCAGCAGGTTCTGACAGGTTCTGGAGAACCGGTAGCGGAAATTTTGAGCAGTTCGAAGAACTGGGAAATATCACCTCTGGCTGGCTCCAGAGTGGGGTGGGAATGGAGATTTTGCAACATCCTTCCCCCAGGAGTAGGGAGGGAATGGGGATTTTGCGGTATCCTTCCCCCAGGAGTGGGGAGGGAATGAGGATTTTGCAGTATCCTTCCCCCAGGAGTGGGGAGGGAATGGGGATTTTGCAATATTCTTCCCCTGGAGTGGGATGGGAATGGAGATTTTGCAATATCCTTCCCCTGCCACGCCCACCAAGCCACGCTTACAGAACCTGTAGTAAAAAAAATTGAATTCCACCACTGGACTATATACTTAATGTTACATGTATTGACAGCAGCGAGAATCCTATGTGCACAGTATTGGGAAAATGAGAACACCCCGCCAGATGAAAACATAATCTGGAAAATATTGGACTGTGCAGAGATGGATAGATTGACATTGAAAATAAAAGATAAAGGAGATACAGAGTACTATTTAAAGTGGAATAGGTTTTATCAATGGTTAGAGCTGAGAGGTAGAAATTAGATTTAGAAAGATCATTGTTATCTGTAAGTAAAATATGAATGTTGTCTATAATTATAAGCATGCTAGTATAATTAATATCATAGATAAGCTAATATAATTATAAATATTGCTGTAGTTATTACGTGTATATCGTTATCACTATCAGTATATCTGTTATTTTTTTCTTTTGTAAAATGAAGTGGTTGGACAATACACCGTCTTCAAAATATTTATATATAAATAAAAAAAAACTTGATTTAAAAAAAAAGATGTCATATCTCATACGGCAGTGTTCAATCGTGCGCTACTGACCTCCATTCTTTTAATCCCACCAACTCCTCGTCCACCGTAGTAGGAAGCATCCACTGTCGGCCATTTTTTGGAAGGCAAAGGATCTTCTTCTTCCTGAGGAAAATCGAAGAACGTTTTATTTTGGAGGTGGAATTAATTTAGGTTTTTGAAGAAAAAAAATAACAACATTCCTCATAAATATCTAAAACCAGTTTATTCACAGGCTACGTTTTCCTAACGATGGTGCGAGACAAAACAATAAGAAGCCAAGGAAAATACAGATAATCCTCGCCTTTCGGCTATAATTGAGCCCAGAATTCATGTTGTGAAATGAGAAATGTGGCATTTTAGGACTTTTCTTGCCACAGCTGTTAAGGGAATCGCTGCAGTTGTTAAATTGATAACACAATTGTTAAGTGAATCTGGCTGCCCCATTGGCTTTGCATGTCAGGTGGTTGTAAAAGAGGATCACCGTCATAAATATGAAGCAGTTGTCAAGCATCCGAATGTAAATCACATGACCATGGGGATGCTGTAATGGTCATAAGTGTGAAAAAGTGGTCATAAGTCACATTTTTCAATGCCATTGTAACTTTGAATGGTCACTAAATGTTGTAAGTCGAGGACTAGCTGTATTAAAGGACAATAGGCTATACCTCGGACATAAAATATAAATGTCAAATTAATGGTTGTTGAGGAGCTTCCCACATAGCACCCATATATTTCGAATGGCATAAAATATTAGTTCTACTGCATGCTAAAAACAGGATAAAAACTGTTGCTTTATTATTTTATTTTATTTTATTTTTCTCGTTATAAGAGGTTTTTAAATGAAACCGTTTTCCCCAAACTAACTGAATAAAAATTGTCAACATATTTAGCACAGCTTAAATATAGCCATTAACAAATTTTCATGGTTTAAAAACCTTTTCCGTCAAACGAAGGCATTAAAATCTACCACAAATACACTAGAATTGGTGTCAGAAGCTAAACGAGTTACGGACCAACAAAGTTTCCACAATCTGCTACCCTTCTAAATTTGAGGGACTTAAAACTTCCAAAATTCACAGTCCATATGGCCGTTCTTGCTAGGAACTTTGGGATTTGAAGTCCAACGTATCGAGAGTGCAGCGGGTTATAAAAAGCTGATTTGAAATGCTCTCGTGAACCTTCTGAATATTGAATTAAAAAAAAAATGATAAAAGACTCCTTGTGTTGGGATGAAGGACTGGTGACTACACAGACGTATCTCTGTAGTTTTCTCATCAATCACTGAAAGCGGGTTTCCTAACGCCTTCTTCGCAGAATGTGAAACTTCTTTATTCAAAAAAGAAGGGTAGTTTGTCTGCTTCAAATAATGCATGTTTAAAAATGAAAGGCATGCCTTATAATTCACTGAGAATGCACTAGATGACACCAGTCAGGCATTTGCAGACACTGACCCCTCCCCCCTCTTTTGTCAAAATGATGAATGCAATAGCCTGCAACGCAAAATTCACCTCTTGAAGCGTTTGTGTGATGTACAATGCATGCACAACAGAGGGAAGGCCCGCCTTATCAGGGTGTAACACTGCTTCCGTCAATCTGACCTTCTCTATTTATTTAGGTGTATTCTCCCTGTAATTATTTTTACAAATAACTCAAGCTGGCAAATTTATCCAACAAACCTTCCTCTTCCTATTTTCCCCAAAACAATAACCTTTTGAGGTTGGTTGGGATGAGAGAGAATGATTGGGCCCAAAGTCAACCAGTTTGCTTTCATGGTTAAGGAGGGACCAGAACTCACCATCTCCTGGTGATTGGCCCAAAGTCAACCAGTTGGCTTTCATGATTAAGGAGGGATCAGAACTCACCATCTCCTGGTGATTGGCCCAAAGTCAACCAGTTGTCTTTCATGGCTAAGGAGGGATCAGAACTCACCATCTCCTGGTGATTGCCCAAAGTCAACCAGTTGGCTTTCATGATTAAGGAGGGATCAGAACTCACCATCTCCTGGTGTTGGGCCCAAAGTCAACCAATTGGCTTTCATGGCTAAGGAGGGACCAGAACTCACCATCTCCTGGTGATTGGCCCAAAGTCAACCAGTTGGCTTTCATGGCTAAGGAGGGACCAGAACTCACCATCTCCTGGTGATTGGCCCAAAGTCAACCAGTTGGCTTTCATGGCTAAAGAAGGACCAGAACTCACCATCTCCTGGTGATTGGCCCAAAGTCAACCAATTGGCTTTCATGGCTAAGGAGGGACCAGAACTCACCATCTCCTGGTGATTGGCCCAAAGTCAACTAGTTGGCTTTCATGATTAAGGAGGGACCAGAACTCACCATCTCCTGGTGTTGGGCCCAAAGTCAACCAATTGGCTTTCATGGCTAAGGAGGGACCAACTCACCATCTCCTGGTGATTGGCCCAAAGTCAACCAGTTGGCTTTCATGGCTAAAGAAGGACCAGAACTCACCATCTCCTGGTGATTGGCCCAAAGTCAACCAATTGGCTTTCATGGCTAAGGAGGGACCAGACCTCACCATCTCCTGGTGATTGGCCCAAAGTCAACCAATTGGCTTTCATGGCTAAGGAGGGACCCGAACCCATGATCCCCCGCTTTCTAGCCTGGTCCCTAAATCAGTAGACCAAACTGGCCCTCCTCTCCCCACAGATATCATTGGGAGACAAACAACTTTTTTTGAAGTAGTATGGTGAGATAAGGCAGCAATCAAATTTAACAATCAATCAATCAATCAATCAATCAATCAATCAATCAATAAATAAATAAATAAATACTTCTTAGCAAGGTGATCAAAAATTAAAGTTTCTTCATGCCTTAAAACATACAACATCTGCTTTACTGTGGATCGATATATCTACTGCCTACTCTTCTGAGCCAGCCTTTCAAGATGCAACCCCAGCAAAATATGCTTCAAGTTCCAGCTTCTGCAACCCCTTTTCATAATGAACAAGATGCATGGATCACTGAGTCAATTCAAACCTGTGGGATCCTGGGTGCTCTCTGAGCTTGGTGGTTTTCTTGCAGGTGTTTCCGTTACCAAACTAAATAACATCACCAGCACTGATGACGTTGCCTAGTTTGGTAATGAAACGTCTTTCAAGAAAGCCACCAAGATCAGCAACACCCCACAATTCAATCCTTAGCTACAAATATTCTCTCCTATCAATTCAAACCTGAGCGTGCTGGGATGGACAAGTTGCAATCCACTAGTCAACCCCTGTCTCCTCTGGGATGGCCAGAAAGAGAGGAGAAATGAAGGTCTCCTAGCAAGCCAACTTCTTTTCCAATCGCCCGTGCCAGCTAATTTAAAAAAAAAAAAATGTACTGGAGAAAAGAACTGGGGTGCATATTCAAACACCCCATATTGCAGCCTTGCCCCAAAGCGGTTGGCGCTACAACAACTCCCATTTTTCCCTGCGAGTATGGTCAGTAGTCATTCTACAATTGCAGCTGCAGAATCAACCCATCAGGGAAATAACCCAATGTTTACAGGTTTTCTTTGGTCGATGGCAGTGATAATTCCCCCTTAAAGAAATACAGAGGATTGATTCTGTGCATTTTCCAAAGAAGTAATTATCGCTCTTCTTGTATGATCCCCTGAAGTTAAGGCTACACTGCAAGTAGATAATGGATTTACATAATTTACATAATGGAGCCTTGGTAGTACAGTGGTCTAAAGCACCCTGTTATTAAGACCAGCTGCCTGCAATTACTGCAGGTTCGAATCTCGCCAGGCTCAAGGTTGACTCAGCCTTCCATCCTTTCTAAGGTAGGTAAATTGAGGACCCAGTTGGGGGCAATAAGCTGACTTTGTATAAATATACAAAAGAATGAAGGCTATTGCTTAGCACATTGTAAGCCGCCCTGAGTCTCCGGAGAAGGGCGGCATATAAATCAAAAATTTTTTTAAAAGTGTGTCCTAACACCCCTTTTAAGGACTTCTGAACATACAGAGACAAAAAGAAAGCGCAGCACACCGAAGAAGAAAAAAATACAGATGTGCAAGGCGTTTAATGCAGCCTGATCCGAAGTTATTTCCACGTTTACAATACTGTTTGGTGGAGTAAGATATTCTGTGAATTAGACACACGCTTGCTGGCATCCTCACCCACAAAATGCATAAACTGAGCATTCTGGTTATGTTGCAAGGAAAATCAATTTGCAGCGGAATGTATTTTGAAGTGCTTATTACAATCCAATTCCTGTTGAGTTGCCACGCAGCAACACTTTCCTCGCGCACTTTGGGGGATAACCAATCTAGCTAACATAGTGTGCCCTATAAAAGGGAATGTTGTGCTTTAACCGGCTAACTCCCCCGCCCTTTTATGGATAGCTAACCCTTTTGGATATCCAGCTAAAGTTGACGGATATGATTACACAATTTTATAAAGCCTCCTGAAGAGTCTGGGGTTCAATATAATCAGGGTGCAAAAAAAAAAAAAAAAACCCAGAAGGATAGAGCTAATAAGCTTTAGGGTTCAAAAAGCAAAAAAATACCGGTCTGTTTCATTCTTACCCACCCAAACTGTGGCTAAAAAACAGACCTTAGAATTTAGAATAGAATAGACTAGAATAACAGAGTTGGAAGGGATCTTGGAGATCTTCTAGTCCAACCCCCAGCTTAGGCAGGAAACCCTACACCACTTCAGACAAATGGTCATGCAACATCTTCTTAAAAACTTCCAGTGTTGCAGCATTCACAACTTCTGGAGGCAAATTGTTCCACTGGTTGATTGTTCTAACTGTCAGGAAATTTCTCCTTAGTTCTAAATTGCTTCTCTCCTTGATTAGTTTCCACCCATTGCTTCTTGTCCTGCCTTCAGGTGCTTTGGAGAATAGCTTGACTCCCTCTTCTTTGTGGGAACACCTGAGATACTGGAAGACTGCTATCATGTCTCCCCTGGTCCTTCTCTTCACTAGACTAGACATACCCAGTTCCTGCAACCGTTCTTCATATGTTTTTAGCCTCCAGTCTGCTAATCCTCTTTGTTGCTCTTCTCTGCACTCTTTCTAGAGTCTCCACATCTTTTTTACATCATGGCGACCAAAACTGGATGCAGTATTCCAAGTATGGCCTTACCAAGGCATTATAAAGTGGTATTAACACTTCACATGATCTTGATTCTATCCCTCTGTTTATGCAGCCTAGAACTGTGTTGGCTTTTTTGGCAGCTGCTGCACACAGCTAGCTCATATCTAAATGGTTGTCCACTAGGACTCCAAGATCCCTCTCACAGTTATTGAGCAAGGTACCACATATACAGTACCTGTGCATTTTGCACCTTGCACATCTGTATTTTTCCTTCAGTGTTCTACTTGATAAACCCCTTGTTTGTATGTGTGTGTGTATGTGTAGGCAGTACTGTGAAACCTTGTCTTTTCCAGGACCTCCAGGAAACAGGCTGCACGGGCAACAGACTAAACTCCCCTGTGAATACATTCCATTGGCATGATGACATCATTGTGCAAATGACGTCATCAGAATGACATCATCATCGTACAAATCATTTAAATTATGCCAAGGACAAATTTTTGTCCTGCAGGAGGGGATGTAGGAGGGAGGCCAGGGGTGGGTTCTACTTACCTTTACTACCGGTTTGCAACGGGGTTGCGCACACGCTCTTCTGCGCATGCACAGAAGCGTTTTCATGACATCAGGGTCAGTGGGCGGGGCCTCTCGCTTGCTTTACTACCGGTTCTGTAGAACCAGTGCGAACCGGGGGTAACCCACCACTGAGGGAGGCGTGCTGTGGGCCCCCATCGGCCAGGGTATTCTGGCTGGCAGGATCCAAGAGAAATTGTATTCCTAAATCATTGGCAACATGGTGATCTGCTTTTATAAACAGCAAGCCGCTGGAGCACTTTGGAAGCTTACCTCTATTGGAGCTGAAGGCTGGGGTCGAGGAGGATCCTTAATAACCTATTGATGAAAGGGACAAATTAGATGATAAAGATCATAATGGCAAAGGTTCATTAAAATCACACCATAGCAAGTCATTTTGATGGCGATACTTCTCCATTAGTTATCTCCATAATCCGCTAGCCATGGTTGGGGTAACAGAAAACTCACGGTGGCGCAGTGGTTAGAGTGCAGTACTGCAGGCTACTTCTGCTGACTGCCTGCAATTTGGCAGTTCAAATCTCACCAGGCTCAAGGTTGACTCAGCCTTCCATCCTTCCGAGGTGGGTCAAATGAGGACCCAGACTTTTGGGGGCAATAAACCGCTTAGAGAAGGCTGTAGAGCACTATTTTATTTTATTTTATTTGATTTACATGCCGCCCTTCTCCGGAGACTCAGGGCAGCTTACGTATCTCTATTGCATTAAGCAATAGCCTTCATCCTTTTGTATATTTATACAAAGTCAGCTTATTGCCCCCACAATCTGGGTCCTCATTTTACCTACCTTAGAAAGGATGGAAGGGTGAGTCAACCTTGAGCCTGGTGAGATTTGAACTTGCAGTAATTGCAGCCAGCTGGTGTTAATAACACTGTTAATAACAGTGCTTTAGTCTGCTGCGCCACCATGACTATGAAGCGGTATATAAGTCTAAGTGCTATTGTTATCCCCATGACTGTTATGAATTGGCAAAACAACTGTTGGATGATTGTTAAAGATGCTTAGTTATCATTAATTTGATTTGTGTCTCACCAGTGACTCTGGACCGATAAAGACACAACAGAAAAAAAAAACACCAAGATATAAAATCTATAATGACCATCAGTTAAAAAGAAAAAAACCCAAATAAATTAAGAACACGCCATAGACTCCAGTTAACCTAATGATTCCCTCCCTGGGAGCACGTCCAGATTTTTAAAGCTTTTCAGAAGACTGCAGAGATACAGCCAATCAAACCTCAGATTGCTAATGTATTTGGCTCTTAACTTGTTTTATTTAAAAAGAATGTGGTTATCACTCACAGCTTCCCATGGGCTGCAAATACAGGTACGATCGCAATTGAACCCTAATTTTCTGTTGCTAAGCGAGACCGTTGCTAAGTGAGCTTTGCGCCATTTTACGTCCTTTTCTTGCCACCGCTGTTAAGTGAATCCCTGCGGTTGTTAAGCCAGTAACATGGTTGTTAAGTGAATCTGGCTTCCCCACTGACTTTGTTCATCAGAAGGTCGCAAAAGGGGATCACACATGACCCTTGGACCATCATAAATATGAGTCCGTTGTCAAGTGGCCAAACTTTGACCACGTGACCATGGGGAAGCCGCAATGGCCGTGTGAAAAATGGTCATAAGTCACTTTTTTCAGGGGCCACTGTAGCTTCGAACGGTCATTAAACGAATTGTTAGGAAATGATAATTACCTAACTTGTTGGGTTGGCAATATATAAAACCTCAATATAGCTTTAAGACTGGATTGCTGTATTGCATCATACTGTGTCCTGATTGGTTAGCTCTGTAGCCAATCTCCTTAAGAGGAAGCTTGAAACATTGTTTGTTTCTCTTTTTCTTCTCTTTGCTGACCATTATTGCTTTTTGCTGATCATTACTGTTTTTTGCTGTGTTTGCTACTGTTTATTGTGTATGACTACGACAACTGGTAAGAAGACTTTGTTATTGGAATATCCCTGGACTATTGTTTTATTATCTACTGCTTTATCTGTGTATGACCTGGACTATTTATTGGACTGTGCCTTATTACTATTTCCTAAAAGTAAACACAACTCAGTGTATCTGTGTGTTGGCTGTGATTATTCGCAACTGCTCTCAGTCGCTTTCACGTGCACACCCTTGCTACTCTAGGGTTGCTCTGCGAATTCCTTAACACGAATGATAGTATGTCTAGGACTATCTGTAATGGGGCCTTCCAGATAATGAGGTCAAATTTCCAATTGGAATCCATGCTTCTTCTCTGTAAATGTTAGTCTCTAGTAAATCTCAAGGTTTTCTTTATTGCAGAGCCATTGGCGAATCATTTTTTATTCGGCAGTACGGATCTGGTTGATTCTATATAAACTACGGTAATAGAATACCGTACTTTTCGAAGTATAAGATACACTTTTGCCCCCATAAAAGAGGGTGTGTCTTATAGACCAAATACGGCCATTTTTGGTCTCCTAAACCACCACCTCCTGCGTGTCCCGTTTTTACCAAAAACGGGCCCCGTTTTTGCAAAAACGTGACGCGCAGAGGGTTTGGGAGGCCTGCAGAGTTCTCCTAGTGGCCGGGGAGGGCAAAAACGGGACACGTGGGGGGTTCAGGAGGCCAAAAACAGGCACGGGACATGCAGAGGGTTTGGGAGGCCTGCAGAGTGCTCCTGGGGGCTGGGGAAGGCAAAAATGGGACACGTGGAGTGTTCGGGAGGCCAAAAACAGGCCCATTTTTCACAAAAATGGGACGCGCAGAAGGTCTGCAGAGATTGCCAGGGAAGGCAAAGACCGGATGCACGGAGGCCAAAAACTTTTTTTTTCTTGTTTTCCTCTTCAAAATCTTGGTACGTCTTAATACTCCGGTGCGTCTTATAGTCTGAAAAATACAGTATATTTTTTTCAGATTGGGCACCACGCTTAATACTTGCCTAAAAGAAACAAACATGGCTAAGACCTCTCCCCTGCCAAAGTACTTTTAATTAAATCAACTTTATTAACAGTTGGCTGGACTCCTCCCGAAAGCATGGGGGGGGACCCTTAAATTACTTTAAATCCATCAATTTTTTTTTTTTCAAAAACCCGGCTCAGGAAGCTATCCTTATTTTCCGGAGGGGGGAGGGGGCGGGGGGGTTGCAGGAAGGGAACGGAAGAGCGTCTGTAACTCCTCCATCCTGAGAACTTGCACATGTTAAAAGACATAATATTGCCAAGATGTCAACTATTTCTATTTCATTCACATTTCTTAAATACCCATCTCAAGAGCCCAGGAGACTAAATCTCCATTTTGTTTACCATATGCAGAGTTTGAGTCTTCTCCAATTTTTAGGGTTTGGTATTATTATCATTGTCAAGAAACAGGCTGCCGGGTGTTTATTTAGCCAAACAAGAAGGAGGAGGGAAGTAAAGTGCTTCGTTTTAGAGCACAGACGGTTTTCCTCCATCATAGATAATTAGACAGACGGATGGACGAATCGATAGATACGTAAGTAAGGTAGGTAGGTAGGCAGGCAGGGCAGAGAGACAGGTAAAGATATCGAGTTCATTTTCCGTTTTTAAATAAATCGGTGGCTTTGGCCAACTGTCCCTTGATGTGCTCATTAACACATCTTCAATGCTCAAATGTGGTGGGCATTACAAAATGTCAGCGCCAGAGTCCAATGCCAGCTTGATGCAGTCAGATGTTCGCTAATGCTCACGAAGGAGCGAACAAACTGTCAACAGCCAACTCTTTTTGACAAAGGAGGAAAAAGAAAAACCCGGAAAGGCCACTCCGCAACCTGGAGATGTGCGCAGACTGCAGATCAAGTCCGAAATAAATAAATAAATAAATTTTTTTTAAATCGCCAACTGGCTCCTTCCAACAATTAAAACAGGATGCCCCCAAATCGTTGGGCACACTCTAGATGCCAACTGGTTGCTGCCATCGAGGAAGACTGAGTGGTCAGGAGGGAGGAGAGGAGGAGGGAGGGAAATTTCGTCCTTCGATGCAATTTTGTTCGGTTCCCGTCCTGCAATAGTGACACAATAGTAACTAAAATGGTAAAAAAAAAAATTGGGCCTTTAACCGCAACGATGCCAGTTGTTAAAAAAGAAGGCCGGTGTTGTCGTCCGTCAGCAGCCTGCGCAGCTGGCAGCGGAGTTGGACAGTGAGGAGGCTGGGGAGGAACATGGGCCAGTCCTGAAGTCTGGGGAAGGCCCGGAGGAGGGCTCTGCGTCAGAGGCAGAGATGGGGCCACGGCCATCGGGGACTGATGAGTGGACTCCGGAGCCCCCAGAGTCGGACAGCAGAGAGGCAGAAGAACAGGAGGAGCCTGCCAGAAGGCAAGAGCAGCTAAAGCAAAAGGGACGATTCGGGAGTAAGGCCAGGAGATGATTGGCCCCTCCCATAAGGCTTAAAGGAGAAACAGAGGAACTTGGGCCTTTTGCAGGAAAGCAACATTGCTAGCTCTGTTTCCAGTCGGCATCTCTTGTTTGTTTCTGAACTTCGTGGGGCTTTGCCAAGTTAGGTCTTTGGCAGGGTGTCAAAGAAGATAAAGGTTGGTGATTATCCCCAAGGACTTCTTCCGAAGGACTTGTTTTGCAACTAATTGGGACTCAGCTGGGAATGTACGTAATTCTCAGCTGTTACAATAAAATAGGTTTGTTTGGGACTAATTGTGTATTGTAAGCCTAGGTCACAACAGCCGGCTTATGCCGTTCTGGAGACCGAAATATGGGGAAAAAACTGTGGGAATCAAAATTACAACAACACAAGTAGTCCTTGAATTACGACCACACTTGAGCCCAAAATTTCCACTGCTAAGCAAGTGAAGTGAATTTTGCCCCCTTCTACAACCTTTCTTGGCATAGTTGTTAAGGGAATCTCTGCCATTGTTCAGTTAGTAACACAGCTGTTAAGTGAAACTGGCTTCTCCCTTGACTTTGCTAGTCAGAAGGCCGCAAAAGGGGATTACGTGACGCCAGGACGTCGCCACTGTCATAACTAGGAGTCAGTTGCCAAGCATCCTAACTCCGATCATATGACCATGGGGATGCTGCAACGGTCATAAGTGTGAAAAACAGTCATCAGTCACTTTTTGTAACTTTGAATGGTCACTAAACAAATAGTTGTAAGTCAAGGACTATCTGTAATCAGCATATATATACAATCACCACAATAAAATATGGCGCCTTATATTGGGCTAACTTGCGCTTCGGGATAAAATTGGGATTTCAGAACTCAGCGCTGTTTTCTCATACCACCCTATTAAGATTAATAAAGGCTTTTAGAGGTAAAGGGGGATTTATCCAGATATTAATATCAGTTCCATGTTTACATTTTTAAATTAGTTTGGTGGTGAATGCAAGGGAATGCTAATTAGCACTGAAGGGTGGGGGAGTACAAACTCCAGAAGTCAACCAATTAATAGGCCTTGTTGATGAGCTTGCAGTTCAGGCACGAGTTTGCAAGCACTGAGTAATTCCAATCTAATATTTATATTTGCATTCCATTTGCAAGAAAAGATGCCTCAGTCAGTCCAGTTGGAGCATAACTTTCTCCAATCTGATTACGAGCAAATCAGTAAGACTGCATTGGCTATGTTGCTCGCCCAAAAGTGAGCGAAGACTACAGATCAGTGTTTCTCAGCCTTGGCTACTTTAAGATGTGTGGACTTCAACTCCCAGAATTCCCCAGCCAGCCATTAAGTCCACTTTAAGAGGTGGGGACCTCAACTCCCAGAATTCCCCAGTTCTACTTTAAGAAGTGGAGACTTCAACTCCCAGAATTCCCTAGCCAGCCATGAAGTCTACTTTAAGATGTGGGGGCTTCAACTCCCAGAATTCCCCAATCTACTTTAAGAGGTGGAGACTTCAACTCCCAGAATTCCCCAGCCAGCCATGAAGTCTACTTTTAAGAGATGGGGACTTCAACTCCCAGAATTCCCTAGCCAGCCATGAAGTCTACTTTTAAGAGGTGGAGACTTCAACTCCCAGAATTCCCCAGCCAGCCATGAAGTCTACTTTAAGATGTGGGGACTTCAACTCCCAGAATTCCCAGCCAGCCAGAGGGGGAAAAAATTACTTACCACTTTGCAACACAGAGGCCAAAACCACCATAGAGCAGCAATCGCCATCAACAGTAACAAAATGAGGATAATGATCAGTGCCACAATGCCATTGGTCTATCAAAAACAAAGACGAAAAGATAGGTAATTTAATTTATTCTTACGGTAACAAAAAGGCAGGAATTCTCTTTCAGCATCATGCTAAATCAGACCAAGACAAAATAGGATGTGTGTCTGCATATTCCTTTGTTATATTAACAGGCTCTCTGACCCAATCTATATTGTTGGGATGAAAAGCTACCCTTGTAGATGACTTTAAAAATAAAATTAAAAAAAAAAATAGTCAAGGTGTTGGTCCAGAGCAGGGATGCGCAATTATGGCAACTTCATGACTTGTGACTTCAATTCCCAGAATTCCTCAGCCAGCCAATGAGGAGTTGAAGTCCACAAATCATAAAATTGCCATAGTTACCCACCCCGGCCTAAGGACTAGGGGGTTGTGAGTTCTAGTTCTGCCTTAGGCATAAAAGCCAGCTGGGTGACTTTGAGCCAGTCATTCTCTCTCATCTCAACTCACCTCAAAGGGTTGTTTTTGTGGGAAAAAACAGGAGGGAGTATTAATATGTTGCTGCCTTGACCCAAAGGTGCTTTTTTCAAGAGGCAACTGGACTTGCTGTCTTTTTCTTTGAAGATGTTTCACTTCTCATCCAAGAAGCTTCTTCAGCTTATCCATCCACCATCCAGTCAGAACCGAAGAAGCTTCTTGGATGAGAAGTGAAACATCTTCAAAGAAAAACCAGCAAGTCCAGTTGCCTCTTGAAAAAGCACCTTTGGGACAACCATGACCTGGATGGCTGAGAATCTTCATAGACATTTTGCTGCCTTGAGTTATTTATAAAAATAACAAGGGTGGAATATAAATAAACAAATACACAGAATAATTATAAATGCATAAAATCGGATGGGCTAGATTAGCAGTAAGAAAACACTGCCAGGTACAAAGAAAAGAAAAAGTGGGTTCTCCGTTTTATATATTTATGCAGAAGAACAACAAAATGATTAGGGGCCTAGAAGCTAAAACATATGAAGAACAGTTGAAAGAATTGGGTATGATTGATTAGTGTAGCGAAAAGAAGGACCAAGGGAGACATGATAGCAATGTTCCAATATCTCAGGGGTTGCCACATAGAAGGAGTCAAGCTATTCTCCAAAGCACCTGAAGGCAGGACAAGAAGCAATGGGTGGAAATTAATCAAGGAGAGAAGCAACCTAGAAATAAGGAGAAATTTCCTGACAGTTAGAACAATCAGTCAGTGGAACAACTGGCCTCCAGAAGTTGTGAATGCTCCAACACTGGAAGTTTTTATAAAAAGACTGGATAGCCACTTGTCTGAAATGGTATAGAGCAGTAATGGTGAGCCTTTTTCGCAGAGTGCCCAAACCAGAAGGGGAAATCCGAGGACCAGCTGGCCGGCACGCATGCGCGCATCGGAAACCCAACGACCAGCTGGCTGAGCTGGGGCAACGGCACTCGTGCCCACAGAGAGGGCTCTGCGTGCCACCTCTGGCATGCATATCATAAGTTCACCATCACGGGTTTAGGGTCTCCTGCTTGAGCAAGGGGTTGGACTAGAAGACCTCCAAGGTCCCTTCCAACCCTGATATTCTATTATTCTACCCTCTTTTTAGTTTTATTTCCTCTGAGCACCAAATGAGCAATTTAATGGATGTTTAATGGCACGTGCCTCTCAATCGGAGTATGTGCACTTATGACTCTCTAGGCCAACTTTGGATTTAAAGTAGTTTTGTAATGTTTGGGATTTCATGTTTTGCAGAAAAGCTGCGGCTTTCTCTCAAAGTAGAAGTCAGCAAATATGTTTCCTGTTTATGGAAACGACATAAAAGGTTGGGATAGCAAATGCCTATGTAAGTTCAGCCTAAAAGCATTCTGTGGATTTCCTTCATTAAGCAGCACACGCTCTTTTTCATATTTTGAATCAGGAAAGATTTTTAAGAATCACACCGATGGGGGGGGAAAAACCCCTACAAATGGGTTTACCCTGTATTGCTGCAAATGTGTAGACACTAAATTCCAGCTGCTTAAAAAAACAACAACATCTAAACATGTTATTTTTACTGGTTGTCCAAGAGCGGATCGTAATATTTTTCTGGCAAAAACTTTCATTAACCCAGAACGAATAAACACCACCAAAAAGTAAAAATCGAGCTGCATAAAATAAACTCGATCTATATTTTTTGTCAGATGCCTGGCAAAACCGAGAGGCCTTTGTGGATGCGTTAGCTAATAAAGGAGAATATGTGTAGCTCAGGGTTGACAGGAGGGGTCCTTGGTGCTCTCTGAGCTTGCTTGTTTTCTGGCAGATGTTTCATTACCCAAATTAGGTAACATCATCAGTGCTAGTGCATCGGTCTAGCATTGATGAGGTTACTTAGTTTGGGCAATAAAATGTCTGCAAAAAAACCCAAAAACAAGCAAACTCAGAGAGCACCCAGGACCCCTCATTTCAGTGGTGAAATCTGAACCGGTTTGCCGGCCGTACATGCGCAGGATTTCTAGCGAATATAAACCGTGCGGCACAGCTGATCGTTGGAAATACCAGTTCAGATGAACCGGTAGCTTTTTTTAACTACCGGTTTGCCCGAACCGGGGCAAACCGGTGGCATTTCACCCCTGCTTCATGTGTGTATGTGTGTTTAATTTCCAATGAGAAAGAGAAAGAGAGAGAGAGGGAGGGAGGGAGAATAATCCTTATTTTGGAAGATGATCATTATGATCTAAACTTGCTTGCAATAAATCTCCTGGGGCCATTTTCCAGAGGTGAAGGAAAGAGCGCTGTTTGTTCTTTAAAGAGGCTACAGATGCATCTCAACAGAGCCTCTCAGGGGAAGTGGGTTTAGGAGCCTTTTATGAGCTGTTGAGTGTATTACCAGCAAATAATCCTTGTATGTAAATAACAGCAGCATGTGCCAAAAAGGGGGGGAGAGAGAGAGGTTTCCTGGGTGACCAAGGACAATTTGTCTCTTCTTGTAATGAAAACTGGAGGTCATCTTTATATATTGCTTTTCTTTTCCTTTGTCCTAGTCCTCCTCCTCTCTTCTTCCTTTCTTTTTCTTTGCACTTTTTTATTTTAGATGTGTCATATAATATATGCGGGGATAGGCGTATCCCAAAAGGTTTCCACAATTTTGGCCACTACTGTAGTTTCGTGTTCTAAAAAATATAGCCTCTCAGATATCAATATGTTTCTTTCTGGCTCTTATTGCTTGCGTACTTACACATTTTGTTGCCGTAATGGTTAAAGAGCTGGAAATGAGCGACTGCCCTTGGTTCAAACTGACAAACACATCCATTGTTCTGGAAAAAAAAAAAAGAGGGAAGGTGGAAACACAACATTTAATAGTATGCTTACAGAGTGGACAGACTAGATATGATTAAATTAGAGAATGTGACAATGGAACCAAATCTTGACGCTGTTTCCTGGTTTGCTAAACAGCTCCAAGCAGAAACTCAGAATTAAACTACAGGTAGTCCTTGACTTACGACCACAACTGAGCTCAAAATTTCCGTTGCTAAGCGGGACATTGGTTAAGTGAATTTTGTCCCGTTTTGCAACCTCACGGACGTTAAGTGAGTCGCTGCCGTTGTTAAATTAGTAACACTGGTTGTTAAGTGAATCTGGCTTCCCCGTTGACTTTGCTTGTCAGAAGGTCGCAAAAGGGGATCACATGACATTGCAACCATAAATGCGAGTCAGTTGCCAAATTTTGATTGCATGACCATAGGGATGCTGCAATGGTCATTAGTGTGAAGAATGGTCATAAGTCACTTTTTGGATTGCTGTTCTAACTTTGAACCTAAATAAATGATTTTGTTAAGTCTACCTGCATGTTTGGGGGATTGTAATGAATTGGTTAAGCTATCATTACATATGTGTTGTGGCCCGCCAGCGGCCTGCACGGATCGTGGCTGATCCCGACAACGAGGAGGCTGGTGTGGGGTCACGCCAGCAGCCGGCACAGCCGGCGCTTGCGTCAGACAGTGAGGAGGCTGAAGAGGATGTGGTGCCAGAGGCAGAGACTCAGCCAGGGCCTTCAGAACCTCCAGAGGGTCCTTCAAGTGGAGAGAGCGAAGTGGAGGAGCCTCTCCTCAATGCTCAAGCACGCAGGGCTGCCAAAAGGCAGGAGTGCCTACTCAGGAGGAGGAGGTCTCCTCGAGAGTAAGGTTTGAGGATAATTGGCCACTTCCTTAGCCTATTTAAGTCGCACGCAGTTAGTAATTTCTTGCTGGAAACAACGTGTAATTATTACAGAGCATTTTGGAGAGTGAGTGTCTTATTGTATCTTGTTTTCTGGGCTGGTTGCCAACCTTTGTCGGACTTAGTTTATTCTTGGTACGTTATAACTTTGATAAGAATTGTTGGTGTGTGTCACAATCCTTGGGAATCCGGAGCTGGGGCAGAACAATATGGAGAATAAAGTTACAACGAACAGAGATGGAAAAATTGCTCCTTGATTGTACCACCTCCAATAAAAGTTTTGTCATTGGAGTCTTCCGCAGATCTGTGCTCCAATCATCCTGAAGTGAATAAGATCTGAGCTGACTTGGAGTCTAATCAAGAACCAACTATGGCTACAGAGCTATTTCTAGGACACCCTGATGCTGCGACCCACAGGGTCAGCTTTGGAAGCCATATTAAGCCGGAAGCTTCCATGCTGCTGCCACCTTCTCATGTGTGAGAAAGTAGGGGGGAGGGATTTAGTAGAGGGGTTGTCTGTAGACATAATAGCATTCTTCCTGTCAGTCAAGGTCAGGCCAATCCTGCATCTGGAGAAGGAGTGGTCAGAGTGCTGTCTCGAGAGGGGACAGATGGTGACTAAAGCATGTGATTGACTGAGGACTGAAGGGATGGTTTTGGGGGTTTTGATTTACTGAGGGAAAATCCGGACCTCTCAGATTCGGGTTTTCCCAGATGTGCCAGTTTACCTATTCTAGTAAATAGAACTTTGAAAAATGCTTGCTTCAGAGTTTTACGTGGAGTTGGGGGATTTTCTGGAACGCTGGCACACAGATCTTCTTCGTTTCTGAAAGAAACCCTTCACAAGTTAAGAAGAATGTCTTGATAAGACCACACTGGGAATATTGCATCCAGTTTTGGTTGCCACGATATTAAAAAAGATGCTGAGATTCTAGAAAGAGTGGCGAGAAGAGCAACAAAGCTAATTAGGGGACTGGAGGCTAAAATATATGAGGAACGGTTGCAGGATATGGGTATGTCTAGTTTAATGAAAAGAAAAACTAGGGGGGTGACGTGACAGCAGTATTCCAATATTTGAGGGGCTGCTAGAAAGAAGAGGGGGTCAACCTATTCTCCAAAGCACCTGAGGGCAGGACAAGAAGTAACGGGTGGAAACTAATCAAGGAAAGAAGCAACCTAGAACTAAGGAGGAATTTCCTGATTGTTAGAACAATGAATCAGTGGAACGACTTCCCTCCAGAAGTTGTGGTGGCTCCATCACTTGAGGTTTTTAGGTGCTTTGGAGAATAGGTTGACTCCCTCTTCTTTGTGGCAGCCCCTCAAATATTGGAACACTGCTATCATGTCACCCCTAATCCTTCCTTTCATTAAACTAGACATACCCAATTCCAGCAACTGTTCTTTATATGTTTTAGCCTCCGGTCCCCTAATCATCTTTGTTGCTCTTCTCTGCACTCTTTCTAGAATCTCAACATCTTTTTTACATCGTGGTGATTAAAACTGGATGCAATATTCAAAGTGTGGTCTTACCAAGGCATTATAAAGTGACTTGAGTGGATATATGATGAACGGTTGCAGGAACTGGGCATGGCTAGTCTAGTGAAGAGAAGGACCAGGGAAGACATGATAACAGTCTTCCAATATCCGAGAGGCTGTCATGGAGAGGAGGGGGTCAAGCTATTTTCCAAAGCACCTGAAGGCCAGAGAAGGAATAATGGATGAAAATTTATCAAGGAGAGATTTAACCTGGAAATAAGGAGGAATTTTCTGACAGTGAGAGAGCAATCAGCCAATGGAACAGAAGTTGCCTTCAGAAGTTGTGGAAGCTTCATCAGCCTCCGGGCTGAGGTCACAATACTTCATCACTGGAAGCTTTCATGAAGAGACTGGACTGCCATCTGTCAGAAATGGTGTAGGGTCTCCTGCTTTGGCAGGAGGTTGGACTAGATGACCTACAAGGCAGAGGTGAGTTTCAGCAGGTTCTGACCAGTTCTGGAGAACCGGTAGCAGAAATTTTGAGTAGTTCAGAGAACTGATAAATACCACCTCTGACTAGCCCCGGCCCCATCTATTCTCTGCCTCCCGAGTCCCAGCTGATCGGGAGGAAATGGGTATTTTACAGTAACCTTCCCCTGGAGTGGGGAGGGAATGGAGATTTTACAGTATCCTTCGCCTGCCATGCCAACCAAGCCACGCTCACCAAGCCACGCCCACAGAACCGGTAGTAAAAAATTTTGAAACCCACCACTGCCTACAAGGTCTCCTCCAACTCTGTTAATCTGTATAAATATCCCATTCAAGAGACAGTATCAATGGTTTGATACTGGATCTGGAAACAGACTGGTGGTCTATGTTATGTTTAAGAAACATTCAGTGGAGGAAAAGCAGTACCAGGGACTCATCCTAGCTGGCCTATGGTCCATTGAGACTTAAACCCTGGACTCAACTCCACTTACTCAACTGTTCATCCCAGAAACATAAACGTAATAAAAATGACCGTCTGAAAAAAGATTTGAATAGTCAATCCAACTGTGAGTTCTTGAGATGTAAAGAATTACATGGATTCACTCACGCCCATAAAAATGTCAGGCCTGGCAATAAACTCACTAATTACCACTCCAGCAACACAGATATAGCATAAAGGCCACTAATTAGGACTTGGTGGGGCTTTCTAGAAAGAGAAATTAGGCAGCAGAGAAACATAAATAGGAGAGCGGTTTCTTATTTCTTCAAATAACTTTGGAAAAACCTAAACACATGGTAAGGATTAGAGATCAGCTGCTCCTGGCCCGAATTCGAACAGACTCAGCAAGTTTCCTTATATGCTTATCTTTAAGCCGGAAGAGTCAGATTTTCATAGAAGTTTGTGGATTTACGGATCTCAGGAGCATTTTATCTATTAAGGCTGAATCACAGACTTCCTTGAACCAATTCTGTCAGCTATATGCCGATTTATCTCAAGTATCCTTTATGTCAGTGTTTCTCAATCCTGGCAGCTTGAAGATAGCAATAGTTTAGTTTTATTGAATTTGTATACCGCCCTACTCCCGAAGGACTCAGGGCAGTGAACAGCCATAGAATAAAACAATATAAATACAAAATTTAAAATAGAATAAAACGAATTAAATAATTTGGCTGAACAAATTTAAAACCCCAATACTTTAAAACCAAATTTAAAATTTCCATTTAAAAAGCGGAAAGACTTAGGTCAGGCCAGCCTGATGAAACAAGAAAGTCTTGAGCGCGCGACGGAAGGTACGCAGATCCGGGATCCTCCGTATCTCCGGGGGGAGCTCGTTCCAGATAGTAGGTGCCCCCACAGAGAAGGCTCTCCCCCTGGGGGCCGCCAGTCGACATTGTTTGGCTGACGGCACCCAGAGGAGCCCCTCTCTATGGGAGCGTACTGGTAGGTGGGAGGCTACTGGTGGTAGCAGGCGGTCCCGTAAATAACCAGGTCCTAAGCCATGGAGCGCTCTAAAGGTGATAACCAAAACCTTGGAAGCGCACTCGGAAGACCACCGGGAGCCAGTGCAGCTCACGCAGGAGAGGTGTTACATGGGAGCGCCACGTCACTCCCATCACCACCAATAACACTTAAGACTTATATACCGCTTCACAGTGCTTTCCAGCCCTCTCTAAGCGGTTTACTAAGTCAGCCTATTGCCTCCCAACAATCTGGGTCCTCATTTTATCAACCTCGGAAGGATGGAAGGCTGAGTCAACCTTGAGCCGGTCAGGATCGAACCACCAAACGGTAGCAATCTGAGTCCTCGTTTTAACCGAGCTCGGAAGGATGGAAGGCCGAGTCAACCTTGAGCCGGTCAGAATCGAACTGCCTTACTTTACAAAGTTTTCTCTCTGGTAACGCTATACTTCTAACTAGGGCATACAAAACCTTTGCCAGACCTATCCTTGAATACTGCTTACCTGCCTGGAACCCTCACTGTATTTCGAACATTAATACATTAGAGAGAGTCCAGAAATATTTTACAAGAAGAGTACTCAACTCCTCTGCTTGCAATAAAATTCCTTATACCACCAGGCTTGAAATTTTAGGTCTGGATAACCTTGAACTATGCCGTCTACGTTCCGACCTAAA